GTCCTGCAGGGACCCGGGACCCAAGTCTACCGAGAGGACATCTCAGGACAAATCGGAGCAGGACCGAGGGGGGCCCCCGCAGCAAGGCTGGCCCCGGCGGGCAGGCCCCTGGGTCGCGCACCGGCCCAGGGGCCTCTTGCTCAACAGCGCTCTGTGTGCTCTCAGACAAGCTGCTGCCCTCTCTGGGCCTGAAGCCAAGGGCCTCTCCCAAAGAAGAATTCAGCCCTTCTGCCCACCACGGTGCAGTCACACCTGCCGACCCTTCCTGCCGTCAGCTAATTGGAAGAGAGTCCAGGAAGCTCCTTGGGCAGCCTCCTAGTGGCCAGTCAAAGCTGATGGCCCGCCTTCTAAGGATGCTGGCACCCAGGTACAGCCGCAAAGCCATGTGGCCTCCAGGAGCCCCTCCCCTGCCCTATCCCTGCCTGGAAACGGTCAGCGAGGCCCTGAGTACTTCGGGGTGGGGCACTGGGCTGGTCCCTTGTGGGAGGCAAGAGGGTGGACGTGGCCCACCCCCTAGAATCCGCAGAAGAGCTGGGGGGTGGGTGGGGGAACCCGAGTAACCGGAGAATCATCGCCTCACATGTATAGACAAGGAAACCGAAGCTCAGAGCTTGAGCCGGAGACCCTGCGGGGCTGGGAAGTGCTGGTGCTGGGACCCCGGCCCAGGGTGCCGTCAGTGGGCTGGGCTGTCTCCCTGCTCAGCCACTCGGAGGTGGAGCCACGAACACCCCCTCTGCCTCCTTCCCCCTTTCCCTCCCTCCCTCCGCCACACTCCCCCTGCAGTGTCCAAACTCAGCCTCTGTGTCTCTGGGCTGATTGCATCAGAGGATAATCATAAAAAGGCAGATGCAATTGGTTAAAATTCGGATGGGGGTTAAATAATGAAATAATTGTGGGATTTTGATATTTATAGAAAAGCAACCCGTCTCCAGATTTGTGAAGTGATGGGAGCCTCCAATATGTGGCAAAGGTTCCATAAATACAGGCAGATCATCAGGGCGAGACAGACTTCCCTGGGCTTAAGGAGCTTTCAAAAATCCATTTGCTTTCAGGTTTTAAATGAGCAATAAACCCCGTATCATGCCGAGGCCCACGCGGACTTCTGCTCCTCTCTGTGCGCGCTGGAGATAACTCCAGCGGTGGCAAGCAGTGTTAGTTACGCATTCGGGAAGGGATCGCTAGCAGCCGTTGGCTGAGTGCACCCCGGGGCCCACGCCCAGCTGGGCGCGGGTGGGCACAAGCTCCTCCGGCTTCAGAACGGCTGAGGGGGCTCAGCAAGCATGGGCAGGGGTGAGGGCACCCACCCAGGGCCACGCAGCCCGGGAGGGACAGAAAGAAAAAGAGACAGGAAGGAAGAGGGCTGTGTGGCTACATATGATGCAAGATGCTGGTGAAACAGAGAGAGGAAAATGTCCCCAGCGTCTGATGCAGGGTCACCTGGCATCGCCACCCTGAAGACCGAGTCCGGTTGCTCCACCTTCAGGCACCAGGTGATCCAGCGGTCCCTGCTCTCTGATCCCCTCCACCCCTCTTTCCCACTCCCTGCACTGCAGCCAGGCTGGGCAGCCTGTGTTCCCGGAACACGCTCTCCCTTTCCCGTCCCTCCATCTGGAGTGTGGCACCTGTCTGCCTCCCTTGTGAAAACCCTCCTCGCCCTCCAGGCTCAGGTCCAGTGCTGCCACGATGCCCCCCAGGCCGTGTGGGCTCCTGCTTTTTCAGGTGCCTGCAGTTTGCTGGTTGTCCCTCCTGAGAAGCCCTCTCACCTTTCTGGACCTGAGACCTGGAGCCGGAACTGGGGACCGAGATCGCCATCCTTCATCCCGCACAGGGGGACCCTTGTGGATTTGTGTTTGCTGAGTATAAACTCAACAGCACGAAACCAATGAGAGCCAGCCCTCCAGTGCCCAGGGCAGAAGTCGCGGATGAGTCCCAGCACTGCCCTGCAGGGGGGGACAGCCTCGGCCGGCTCTCCAGCAGGAGCTCGAGCCGCCGCGGAGGGCCAGTCAAGGAGCCCCGCAGGCAGGACCTGTTTGCCACCCTGGCACGGAACATGCGGAGAGGAAATCTCAGGCGCACACTCACGCTCCAGGCACACAGTTGCTCTTGTGAGGTGATCTGAGAAGCCAGAGGGACGTTCACAGCCAGGAACGCCCCTGATTGAGCAGGCACTCCCTGTGCAAGGAAGACGGTCCTGGGGCCACGGCTCCCCGCGGTCAGGGACCACTCTGGCCCTGGACCGGCCTGTGTCCTGCCACCCTGCCAGGTGCCCTGTCCCGGCCCAGCCTACTCTAGGGGTGGCAGAGCCCCCTCCCATGGGTGCTAGAGGATCAACCCGTTGGGGAGGGGTCATCAGGGATGCAGGCATCTCCCGGTCTGAGCAGCCTCACTCAAGTTAGATTTCCAGGGGAGACCGTGCTGGGGGCACCGCTCCAGCCTACAGCCTCCCTCCATTGCTTGCAACCTCATTGGTTGGCGCACCCTAAAACTAGCCTTCTGCTTTGGCTGGTGCCAGTGAAGAAAGGGTGTGGGGACAGGGGAGAGCCACGTTTACTCAGACAGATCCAACATCTAAGTGATTCCTTGCCAGATTCAAGTGTGGGCTGAGCCATAACAAAGCCAGGTGACCAAGACCATGGTGGGGGGCAGCTCATACCAGACCTCCTAGCTCTAAATTCCTACTCACTTCATGGCCCTGATGGCATCCCTTTACCACTGGGTCTCGATTTCCTCATCTGCAAAATGGGCACACAAGAAACCTCTGCCTGCCTGTCCCAGGTGGTGCCTGGGACAGCGCTGCATAGTGGCAGATGGTGTTTATGAGGGTGGAGGGGGTGAAGGTGCTCGACCCCCGCCAGGTGGGGTGCGGGGATGAGCCCGCCACCACAGCCCTGCTGGGGAGCCTGGCACCGGCACGGGAGATGGACGTTGAGCGAGAGACACACGGGAAGGGTGCAGGCCGCTCGGGTCATGTAACGGGGAGGCTGGACACTGGGAAGAGGGGCGCAGTGCTGACCTCTGCCCGCATAACCATCCTGACTGGCCACGGCCACATCCAAGGGTTCCCAAGGGGAAGACGGATGCGGGGACGGGGACACACTCCCCGCGCTTCCTACCTTTTATCTTCCGTTTTACCGAACCGGGTCCCGGGGGTTTTTCGGGTTACGGGGGTTTAAACGGGTTTCGGGTAAAAACCCGTTTTTTCCCCGGAAACGGGGGGTTACCCG